ATTCGATTGCACGATTCACGCCAATTCCGTAATTCTTTGTACGTTTCACTTTCCTAACTGAAACCGTACGAACCTCTCTGAGCTGAATGCGGTGATGGTCGAATAAATCGAGTTGTGGTCCACAAATAGATTACAGATCAAATTGTTGTATGCCCACTTACTCGTCTCCCGTGGTGGATTGATGAAATTTCAAATCTAACTGTTGAATTTATTTGGCGTTTATCCCCATGCAATTTGAACGTTTGATAAATAAATTGGACTGTGACGTCACATTAAGAATATATCCTTTTTCTGTGCCTCAAACATTCAATCCACTTAAGATGGCATGGTTAGTGGGTTCAGACTGCCCACACGCAACACGAACACAAACCATCGTGAAATCGCTCGAGTACTGCTTTACACGGCACTTGATTTGTTCCCGTGTGGTTATGCATCCTTACCTCACCAACCTCACTCTCCCCCTTGTTCTCTCCGGTTGTTACCGTCTCCCTCTTCTCTCGATTGTCATCAGAGCAATCTGCTTCGCTCATCACTTGGTTGTTCAACAATTCCCTAAGCCACAATCGATCCTGTTGATAAGTTATCGAACGAGGCGTAAGAAACCGACCCAAATCCGCATTTAGATCCGTTGGACTCACGTACAACGAATGCCACTTTGGTCGTTGCTCGCTTCAGAGATGTGTGTTTGTGTGTGTGTGCACATTGATGAGCGTTAATCCAAATCTGATTACGTTTGTTTCACTTAGAGTGTCAGACAGACGAACGAAAGAGAATTAAAATGAATACCGTTGTGGCGCACATCGTTTCACGCTGGGTCCGGATAGAGACAAGACGCGCAATGCGTTAGGTTGAGTGCGCACACAGTATAGGGGGTAATAAAAACGGATTACCGTGCCCACACTTTCATTTGTCGTTCGTTTATGATCGCTTGTTAATTTCATATCGGTGATTGCAGTAGTATGTGCAAATTTTGCTTATCTGGTCTGACCTGCTGGTCCAGAGTCGATGACGGATTCGTCTTAGTGAACATATGATTTTATACTACTTATAACACTTGAAGTGATTTGCAGTGTAAGGGGTAAACCCCGTGGTCAAAACATCGGATTGGCGAACAGAAGTTCAATGTCTAGTGGCACAAACTTGTTGAAGGTAACTACCCTCCTGAGAACGAAAATAGGACAATTGGAGGGGAACTGCTGGATCGAGTTCGGAATAACCGAACGCAACCAAAATGTTAACAGTAGAGAAGGATTAACGGAGCAACTGACCGACAATGGCCAAAGCGACTGCAGATTTGAACTTCAACCGGTTCGTAGATGAGCCGGGCGATCTTACGTTGAACATGCTCAAGTGATTTCCGATACGAATGCATAATTAAGCTTTATTACCATCTATGTTTAGCGCTTTTCATACTCCTGACAGTGGACCGAGGTTGTCCGTTCGCTTCAGGAATTAATTGATGTTTCCCGAGGCGAGTAAGAAAATCGTTGTTTCGATTGACAATAGTATATGGACAAACCATCTGATTTGTCGGTCACATCTGCAGTAGTCACATGATCCTAAAGTACGTTCACTACTAGATGGTCAGAACGATCGATAAGCTCTGAATTATAAATTACTCTGAGGGATCGAGGAAGTGTTACATATAATTCCTAACAAGTTGGATGGATCAACAAAGCGATGCCTTCATTGGTGATCAAGGCTTTTACTCTGCATGATGTATTGACGTTTTTTTAAACACGAGACAGATCCATTCATTCCGCAATTGTTCTTTTTTGTTGTCATGCTTTTAGTTACTACCATGTTTCATAATGAGGCGTTGTGCATCATAAAGTAAAATGTATGTTCCATGGGCTGTGTTCAACTTAATTTTCAGTCGGTTGTCAGCTCATTTGTTGTGCAATACTCTTCAACAATGCTTATTTTTCATTACCACTATGTAGTACGGTCTGTTCAACTAATTCGGGTAAAGAGTATTTGTAGAACGTAATTTTACAACAAGAGAAAACACTAAGTACTTTCTTTATCTAGTCGTCACTCATACTTGATGTCCTTCTAAGGTAAAACCATAGCTTAGGGTTCTGGCTTAATTGTTGGATTTTACGATTCTGTACTAGATCTGTAAATGAAACCGTAAACGTTTTCCTTCACAAGCAAGCACAAACAATTAAGTGAGAATAAGTGCTATAGAAACGTTTGCTACAGTGTTCCGGAGTTCATCGGTCTGTATCATCATATTTTGGCTGGAAAGCGGAATAATTTCAGTGATTAGGTTAAGGTTTATCTTGCAGAAATGTAATCCTTAGTGTATATTTTGGGATGAGACTCCCTGATCCATCACTATATGGGGCGATCAATGAAATGGTATCTTTGTTGCATTTGTTTTTGAATGGATTTTACGTTTTTTATAAGGAAAATTTATAAGTTTCGCTTCATCTTTTTCGTCTTGCCTTTCACCTATCACACTATTTTTTTATCCCCCCAAAAACTGCTCATTTTGTTTTGCCAAACAAATTGAACCAGTATTGTCCAGTAATTCCTTGATAAAACGCCTCGGATTTCTGTTCCAGAGGGCGTAACTAGTCCGTTTCCCATGGTGGTGTCTTTCTGAGGATAGGAACACTATTATGCGTGAATAAAACCTACAATCACTGCTTGCTATTTCTAGTCACACTCGATCCTAAAGTGATTGCCCGTTGTTGCGATCTTTACAGAAGATACATTTTCGATTGACTTGAGATGAATTCTCCACCTAAAATTTGATTGCCTGGTTTCATTTGTTTTTAATCTCATGGTAGGTTTTGATTGGCGAATAACAATGTATGTGTTCAGTGTTCGATGACCGCACGTTTTATTGATCCCTTTCTCACATTTTCCCCCATCATCCAAACAACCGGGCACATACGTTCAGTGGCGCAATACGGAGAACGAGAAACTGGCTCGGATGATATTTGTCGAATTGAACGATGCGATGACTGAGTTTGAAAAGGATCCGGGTTCGGTCATGTCTTTCTAATCGTCCGTACCTACTTGACACAAAATCGAGGA